TATCACCTTATTTGCCATATGAGTTCTAGTCGTATTCTCATTTTCTGACAGGTGGTTTGTGTTCTTATAAGTGTTATTCTTACAACACTTTATAAGAGCTAATTAAGGCTGTTCCATTTTTATGTTCCTCTGACTGTTTTCTTTGCATCCTTTGAAACTTTTGCTGTATTTTCCCTAGATCTCTTTTCTTTTTAAGTTGGTACCATATTCAAATATAATACTTAGTTTAATGAGCCAATCAGATCTACCTTTCTTATGTTTCCTAATACTTGTAAAAATTTTCCATTCTGAGTACTTTGCCTTATTCTTTCTGCCCTGTGAATGCAGTGATAGTTGTCACCTGATGTGAATAACATGCTATGTAATGGTGCCCTTCTATCTGCACGGAGGACACAAAGAAGATTATTCTTTTCCTCATATTATTTTAGATAAAAATATATTTCCTGTTTTTTTAACTTTCATTATGTTATGTGAACTTTTAAAAGGTTTTCTTATTGAACTTTTAAAAGGTTTTTTGCACTAGGTTGCTGGAGCTATTGCTCCATAGTTGAGTACTTCCTACTACATGCAAGGCCCTGAGTTCAATTCCCAGCACAGCAAAACAAAGTATATATTATACTAAACTTCTAGATAATTTTTAGGATGAGAGAAAGTAATATTCTTCAGTTTCAGTGTTTTTTAAATTTAATTAGAGAATTCTTTCTGTCATTACTAAGTTATATTTAGTCTGGCAAGATGTATCCATTATTATTAATAGTCATAAAATACATATTAAAAGTCACTGATAGGAATTATTTTAGGGGAGGAGTGCTTACTCAGGATACCCAAAGGAAACATGCTTCATTAGATAATTTTCCTTAATGTTCTTCAATAATACTTTTCCTAGGCTCAAAGGAGAAAGTAAGCAGGTGCTAGAGTACAGAAGAAAGCTAGATGACATTGCCTGTTGGTTAACCAAGGCGGAGAGCGCTGTGCAAAAGAGGCCAACTGCGGAGCTGGGAGAAAACCTGCAAGAATTACAGGTAAGTGACATCTGTGTGTCCGTACCTGCCGTGTCTTCGGAGGCAGGAACATTCGCCTAAGCATAAGGTTTGGGTGGCTGAAGAGGAAAAGGGAAAGGGAGTTTGTGCTTTGTGATAGGCGTGGCAAGCCTGAAAGAAGCGTTGTTTGGTTTAAGGAGCAGCTATAACTTTGATCTTGCAGACATAAAGCTTCATCCACATAAAAAGGACAATTATCACATGGTCTCAGTAGTAAACCAAAGGCCTTTAGGATATTTTAAATGGACTTTGTCATTTTCAGAAAATAGTAGGACTGCGAAGTATAGGTTTGTGCTTTTAGATTCAGAAGATAATTATTGATGATGATGTGTAAATTAAGTTTCACAATAAAACCCTTGAGTGACAGACGGAGTAACACACCAGTGTTTACCTTAGATTGAGTGTCATGGTTATTTAGTTATAATATCTTTGTTGATTTGCAGCGAACAATAACTTACAATTGTATTTGTTTATAATGTATAATGATACACAAAGATAGATATGTAAACATATTCAAATATGCATTTTATATCCAGAAGTATTTATATTTTTGTGTTAATAATTTAAATGTTTCAGGCTAATCAGCATGATGTGTTCATATTTTTTATTAAAATATTTTATTGTGTATACTTACATATTTGTGTATAAACCTGTGCATATAAAAGTACTTATCAATATGATAAAAGATTTGGGTTTTGAGGAAAATGATTAAGGCATTTTGAGGAAGAAACTTCTAATAATGATGAAAAATATCATGAGACAAAGTTGATTTTCTTTTCAAAATGTGAGTATATTTAATACCTTGTTTTACCTAAAATGTTCAACAGTTTTTTTAGTACTGTCCTTTTGTACACAGGCTGGGAAGAGCTGCAGAGGGTTGAACAGTATCCGAGTATTGAGGCACAGTAGTAGGAGGGAGGTAGGAATAGAACGTTTGAGCATTGTAAATACAGTAATGTCATAGGATGCTATTGAGAGAGTGAGTGTCAGCCAGCATGCTTTGTGCACAGGTGCACACAAACGAACCTTACTGTGTGTCCATTCTGTATCAGTTATGGTTTGCTAACATGGGTGCATGTTTCCTGAAAGCTCATTTTTTACATAAGATATTAAAATTGTACATCTGTAGGAATGCTTCCCCAAGAGGTTTCTAATGTACTTCCTGAACTTGGCTCTGCAGAACAGTTAACTACAGCTGTTTTCTGACTCCTTTAGGACTTAAGGCGAGAGATGGAAGGCCAAGCGGAGAAACTCCAGTGGCTGAATAGAACTGAGCTGGAAATGCTTGCAGATAAAAGTCTGAGCTTACATGAAAGAGACAAACTTTCAGAAAGCCTAAGAAGCATAAACACAACATGGAATACGGTGTGTGTGTGGAGTTGCTGTAACACCTTTGTCATAGCCACTAATTTCATGATCAAACAAGGGGAATTTTGTAACTGATTTACCATTGCATTATATCCAGGATGGGCACATTTTATTAATACTTGTGTTTACAATATTTTCATCTGTCATAGACAGAAGCATACTTTGTCAAAGAATACTTTTTACTTTGTATGCGACTTTTTTGGCCAAAAGGATTTTATATATATATGTGTGTGTATGTGTATAAATAAAATTATATTATATATTATATGTATATTATATAATATATAATGCATAGTGATACACAAAGATAGACATGTAAGCATATTCAGATGTATATTTTATATCTAGAATTATTTAGGCAATAAAATGCCAATAATTTTCTGAAATTGAAGGCCTTAAAATAACATCCCAATGTTGCACATATATATTTATTTGCAATGATTTTATTCATTCAGTATATGTCTACTAATTTCCAGTGGAATATAATGGTGTGCCTACAAATATGACTAAAGTGAGGTCCTTTATCTCAAACCATTACTTTTTGCAGTGGAAATGGTTAAAGGTAGAGATGAAGTCAGATTTCTTTGTATTTTGGCCTGGTTCATGCAGTCTCGGAGTAGGTGGTCTGTGTGGGATGTCGCATGAATATATTCTTACCATATGTTCATTTGCATGGACCTCTTATAAAAGTCACATTTTCTTTTTGATATTAACATAGTAGCCATTATCCTATAACTAATGAGGCAGGTGCATCATTGATCTAGCCTCTTTAATGGAGAATTACTACCTTGAAGAACCGTTGTTCCTCACATATGTGTGTATGTTTGGCCTGGACCTCTGTCTGTGCACTAGACTTGCTAATAAAGCCTCCTGTCAACACCTCTGCTGACGACTGATAGGCACCTTAGACTGACATGCACGGTTGAGTTCCTGATTGCCACCTGCTGCCCGTGCCTTATCATGCCTCACACCTCCATTCGTGGCAGTTACATTGTTGTCATCCTTATGTCACAAACTTTGGAGTCAGTCTCACAGTGCATATGTGAATTATATCTCAAAAAGAGACAAAATCCCCCCCAAACCAAGCACAGTTACCTTAGGGTCATCGTATCGGCTTCTTTTATCTACTTGATTGACCATTTAATGAATGGCTAAAAGACTATAGATGATAAGGCAAAATACAGTAGGGTTTTGACAGTTGTAGATGTTGGGAGGCCCATGGTGTTTTCTGTATAATTCTTTCTACTTTTCTTAGGTTGGAAAAAATCATAAATCTGACCACATCTCATTGCCCTCATTGCTCCTGAGTTGTGTCAAGTCATGATTATCATTTGTCTTGATTACTTCAGAAACCTGCTGCTGGTCTCCCAGCTTCCTTGTTTGCCTTTGTCAATCTCCTCTGAATGAAGCAGCCAGAGTGATTTGTTAAAATGTAATTCAGATCCAGTAACCCCACCAAGCAAGGTCTCGAAGGCTTTTCCGTCTTACTCTGAGTAAAAGCCAAAGAACACATACTGTGAGGCATAAGGCCCCTCGCGGTCTGGCTTGCTGTTATCTCTGTCTTTATCTGCTACTCTCCCCCTTATACTCCTTCCTGGACATGTTGGCTGCCTTGTCACTTGCCTGCTTCAGTTTGTCCACATTCAGTCTGAGCACACATACTTATTTAACACAAAGGATTCTCTATGTCAATTTGGGATACTATATTAGACAATACTGAAGCTTCTATTGCTGCAGTCTTTTATATAGATTTTAATATTGTTTGTTTTGGGGAATTATGAATGTATAAGACTAAGCAATGCTTATTGTGCAAAAAAAAAAATCTCACAACTCTCTTTAGGAAACACTAGCATGGGGTATTTCATTGATTTACTCTTTTATTAATTCAGTGGGTTTTTATTGGATTCACACCCTACACAAGGCATCATTTTAAGTGCCAGGAATACAGAAAGGAGTATGGCACTGCTTCTCACACAGAGAGCTTGTTGTGGGTGAGACAAAAAGACAAGCGAGTGTAGCCCAGAAGCATCCATTGGAGTGATACAGGCAGAGCACTGGCTTGGCTTTGGGGGTGAAGCATGGAGTGTTTAGGGCAGGAGGTCACATCCTGGTTAACTTGTGAAGGATGAGTAACTATTGGTCAGGTGAAGAGTGGAGGGAAGGGCATTGCAGGGAGAAGTAGCAGCAAAGGAAAGGGTCATATAGAGACAGAATGAACCCAGGGCCCCTGGGTCCCAGATGCAGCTCAGTGTGGAATGCGAGGCTTAGAGCTGCTTACACAGTGCAGAGCCTGGCAGCCTGCACATACATGGAGCTCCATGGAATTGGCACTTTGAAAATAGTCCACTGCTTTGAGGGTGGTGGACACCTATTGATGTATTTTAAAGAAGAAAGTTACATTTTTGAAGGTGCACAGCAGAGATGGGTGGAGTAACTCCAGGAGTGGATACAGGAAGACCGTTAGAGTCTAGAAAAAAGTTTACGAAGAGAATTTCAGGGAAAATAGAGAGTATGAATTCAGATTTGGACGTGTCTGAATATCCCATTAATCGAAAGAGCTGAACTACAGCTGGGGGGAGTGAGAGACTTCATTCTTAGGAAACTCCAGAGGATCGATGAGACCAATGGAAACCAGGACCCAGAGAGAATCCCAGGACAAGGCTAGGAAGACCAAAACAATGAAGTGCAGAGCAGTGGTGTTTGGGGGATGAGCAGAGGAAGATGAGCTGGTGAAGGAAACTTAGAAGAGGCAGTCGGAGAGGTGGGAGAAAGTGAGGATCACAGGGTGTTGATGGAATTCAAGGGACAGGGATGGGGTGCCTCGGTTCACAGCAGCTAAGAGCTGGCTGGTGTTCTTGACAAATGTCAGCAGAGTCTCGGCCCAAGCAAGGTTGCAGCTGATAGTGAAGCTGGAGACCAAAGCTCAGCTGTTAAGGGGAAGAGAAGCAGCACAACTATCATTTAGAAAAACACCTCTCTTTTGAAACTGCAACCATCTTTATTTATCTAGTATTCTGTTTCTCTTTGGCCTGCTGCTCTAGATCTGCAGAGAAGCACCCAGCACACCGAAGGAAACTGCCCAGGAGTCCTGCTCTGTTTCACAGACACGGATTGCTGGTAAGATACACTTCATTCCTTAAGTTCTTAAAGCAGCATAGCAGAACGTACAATACGAGCATCGTATTTGAGCTAGGAAGGCTTATTTAAAAGCATCAGGCAATGGTGGCTTATTGTTCTACTTCTAATTATCGGAAAGGACATCTTTTTTAAGCCCAAGATTTATTTGGCTGTGTGGTGTGGGGGTGGCATTTACTCTCATGACCCTGAGACTTGCTTTTCTCTGGATGAGAGGGGCACCGGGCACCATAGGTCCTGCTGAAGGGAAGGACAGAGGCCAGGGAGGAAAATCAAGGATGTTTTGTGGGTATACACAGCTTTTCAGTCCACCAGGCATCGCTTTTTGCTCCAGGATGTGGTTGCTATTGGTATGTGTGGTTAGGTCCTGATGGTGCCTGAGAAGAGATTTCCATGTCCTTAAAAGCAGGTCAGAGATGGGGCGTGGAAGGGTTTCCTTTTGTCCTTCTCTAGATGAGATGGGAGGTTACTCTCCCATAGCCACTGTCACCCCTGCCTAATAAGCACTCTTGAGCACTCTGCTGTCCTCTTTTGAGTCACCTGGCAAAACCGCAAATGTGATTAACTCCAGATACCCTTCCTGTACCAGCTGCTACTGCGGAATATTCCTCCTCCTCCTCTACGTCCTCGCCCCCTTCCACATTGCACCTGGTATTTTCTCGGGTCTCTCTACTTCCCTAAATCTTCTTTTTTTTTCTTTTTTAAATTTTATTTTAAAAAGAATAGCACATGAGACACAAACAAACAAAAAAGTAGAACAGTAGCAGCATACCAGTATCACGAAAGTAAACAAATTAAAGCAGAAACATTCAAAGTGATACAGGGTCTCAAGACAAATTAATACAAATCAACAGTGGTTGTTACATTGCATATCGCTATCCTCAACTGCATTGCTCAGATTATCAGATGTATGAATGAAAGATTGCTCAAACCATTAAAGAGAATAAGAAAATAATTCTTCAATAAAACCTTACAGATAATACAGATTTTCACTAGACAAGACGGTAGGAGTTCACCATTGTAATTCCATTGCATATTGTTACCTTCAAATCAGTTGCTCAGACCACCAGACACAAGCATGCAAAGCAATCAGAACATAAAAAATTATGACCATTAACTGTTCATTTCAATACACCATCAGACAACAGTCATGCAGTCATCCCAGCTATTTATATATATATTTATGTTTTGCCTTCTTTCTTTCTTTTTTCTTCTTTCCCTCATCCCAGTCATTCCTTCCTTTGAGCAATTTCTTTCCCTTTCCTATCATCTATTGTACCTTTTGAATTTTACCTAGTCTTACAGGCTCCTGCACCAAGGAGACAATATGATGTTTACACCTGTGGGTCCCATTTATTTCACTTACGAGTATGATCTCTAGTTGCATCCACTTACCTACAGAAACCTCAAGTTTATCTTTCTTTATAGCGACTAATACTCCATTGTATAAAAATACCACAACTTTTTTATCCATTCTTCGCTGGATGGACATCTGGGTTGTTTCCAAGATATAGCTATAACAAATTGTGCTGCTATAAACATGGGTGCACATATATCGCTGTGGTATGATGTCTTTAAATCTTCTGGGAAAATACCCAGAAGGGGAATAGCTGGGTTAAATGGGGCTTCTAATCCTAGTTTTGTGAGGAATCTCCAAACTGATTTCCACAGTGGTTTCACCAATCTACACTCTCACCAGAGTTCCTATCTCCCCACAGCCTCTCCAGCATTTGTTACTGGTTGATTTCTTGATGATAGTCATTCTCTCTGGGATGAGATGGAATCTCTGTGTTATTTTAATTTGCATTTCTCAAATAACTAATGACGTTGAAGAGTAAAGGGCTTCTGGGATGTGGGAAAAAAGAAGGGAACGAAGGAGAAATTTTGTATGTATGTATATAAAGGATAGATAACATGGTTGTTCTTCTGTCTTCTATTTCTATGCTGAAAGAAACTGTCAATGGCTGTTTGGTTGACCAGTATTGCATGTCTATATCTGTTTTCATGAGAAGCCACTTTGAAGATATCAATATGTAATACAACCACCATTGTTAATTCCCTACCACTTTGTTTGTAACTCTGTATTGTCTGTATTGTGCTTGTGATATGTTGTAAAATGTTGTATGTCTGTTAATGTTTCCCTCCTTTTATCTTTAAAATAAAAAAACAAAAACAAAAAACAAAGTTAACACTCAAAAGTCAAGAGCATTCTTGTACACAAGTAACAAACAGACTGAGAGAGAAATTAGGGAAACCACACCTTTCACAATAGCATCTAAAAAGATGATATACTTAGGAATCAATCTAACAAAAGAAGTAAAAGATCTACACAGTGAAAATTATAGTACTGGAAATAGGAGATCAAAGAGGGTATCAGAAAATGGAAAGATATTCTTTGCTCATGGATAGGAAGAACCAACATTGTGAAAATGGCCATACTCCCAAAATTGTTGTACAGATTCAATGCAATCCCAATTAAAATACCATTAGTATACCTCACAGATCTAGAGAAAACACTTCTAAAGTTCATCTGGAACCAGAAGAGGCCTAGAATAGTAAAAGCAATCTTGGGAAACAAAGGAAAGGAAGGAGGCATCACAATTCCTGACTTAAAATTATATTATAAAGCTACTGTGATAAAATCGGCATGGTACTGGCACAACAACAGATCTGAAGATCAATGGAACAGAGTAGAAGATACAGATACAACTACAAACTCATTCAGTCACCTTATCTTTGACAAAGGGGCCAAATATGATCAAGGAAGGAAAATAGCCTCTTTAGTAAATGGTGCTGGAAAAAACTGGCTTTCCACATACCGAAGACTAAAACTAGACTCATGTCTTTCACGGTGCACTAAATTAAAGTCAAAATGGATCAAAGATCTAAATATTAAAACAGAAACACTGAATTTATTGGAAGAGAAAGTAGGTAAAAATATTGACGACATTGGGGTAGGTAGAGAGTTCATGAACAAAAACCAAACTGCATAGGAAATACTTCAAAGAATCAACAATGGGATCTCACCTTATTGAAAAGTTTTTGCACATCAAAATAATCATAAACAGAGTAAAAAGAAAATCCATGAATTAGGACAAATGTTAGCCAACTGCCCCTCAGACAAAGGACTTCTATCTAGAACATATAAAGAATTTTAAAAATCATGCCCCCCAAAATTCAAAGACCCGGTGCAAAAATGGGCATCTGGGATGGATACCTAAATCTTCATTATTTCTCTTCTTTCTCTTTTTCTTCTTTTCCTCCTCTTCCTAAAAGAGTCTGAAGCAGTGACAAGTGACAAGATTTTTTTCCTCTTTATATTGAGATTACAGGATTACTGAAGGTTAAGTTTATGTTCTGTGTTGCTTGTATGGCCCATTGCCTTGCAAAAGTGACATCTCAGGCCTGATTGGTTTTCTTGATTAATACCAGCACACGTCACTATTCACTGCTTTGTAAATGTGTGCTCCACTCTGTATGCATGAGGGAAGGATTTGATGTGTTTTATGAAATAGAATTAGTTGTTTTACTGTCATCATTATAGCAAAGGATCAGGGAAATTTTAATACATACTTGGAGGCACAAAAAGCTGACAACAGAAGTACACTTTCCATTAGAGGTGCATTTCGTCCTTTGCAAGACAATCCTGAAGCTAATCTCAATGTGTCTCTCTCCTCCTATACAATGTTTTTATTTAGCTTTTTCTACCTTTTAAACAATACTAAAAATAAAATCAGTCACTTTACAGTGAACAGTTCTGCGGCATCTAGAGCACCCACCTCTCTCTTGTTCTGAATATTTCCGTCACTGTGAAGTCAGACCTCTTAGTCATGAAGCGGTTTCTCCTCCTTCCTCCTGCTCCGACTTGGCAGCTGCCGCCCTGCATCCCCCCATCTGGATTCTGTCTGTCTGGGACATTTCATGTGAAGGAAGCACAGAATGCCTCTTTCCCTTAGCATATTTTGGAGGTTTACCCATCTCCGCTTCTTGCTGGTTTTACTCCTTTCAAAGCTATGATCACATGGGCTGGGGATTTAGCTCAGTGGCACAGCACCTGCCTGGGAAGCGCAAGGTTGTGAGTTCAATTCCTGATACCGGAAAAAAACCAAAAAAAAAAAAAAAAAGGAGAAACAAAGCTATGATTACCCAACCCGAGTGGACATTAGAACTGAGAGAGGCTGCTGCAGCCCTTTCTCCTGAGTACACCTTGCTGCCTCTCTTTCAAATAATGACTTCATTTAGTTAAAAATTTTTATTAATACGTGACTATAATACCCAATGAATATGCAGTGATTACATTTGTGTGGAGTTTATACCTGTACATAACACATTTTAATTTTTCTTTATTGTCCCCTTTCCCTCCTGTCCCTCTCAGCTCTTTCTAACTCTTGGTTGTCTTCTCCTTTGTGAAAGCTCTATTTCCATTTTTTACTTCAGTTCTTTTTTTAAAAATCCTGTACTCTGAGGCATCTGCTGGTGAGTGTCACACCCCCCATGGTCCAGTCACCTGCCCAAAGCTCCATATGTGAGCACTGTAACAGCCACCTGTGCCCTGTGTCTCTTCTTGTCCACTCGTTGCTTTGAATGTCTGGCCCTGTCATAAGGAGAAATAATGATCATTAGTTAGGGACCACATGTAACTGAACAGCTGATGAGGCATGTCTCTCAGAAACATTTTGAAACATTGTTTTTGGCCCTTGTATCCGCTGTATTAATTTATAATTTGAATCTATGATTTTGTCAAGTTGTGCACAAACCTGTTGGAAATTTGGTTACAGTTGCACTGAACTTATGTTTTGACTAATCCCCATGAATACACCATATACTAAAGTAGGTTTCAGGTGCATTTAGTCATTTATTTACCTCTTATATTGAAATCAAAGAAATGTAACAGTCACCCTCCCCTCATAAATAACAAAAGATGAAGGAAAAGAAAACATTTATCAAATCGTTGGAGAAGACTGGAGTTTCTAACCTTAAAAGGCCTGAGTGATAGCCAGGCGCATTTGCACATGGCCTGTAATCCCAGCGCTCCGCGGCAGGAGGATCCCAAGTTTGAACTCAGCCTGGGCAACTTAGTGATTTAGTGAGACCTTGTCTCCAGAAGGATGAAAACTACTGGGATGCAGCTCTGTGCAAAAGCTCTTGGGTTAAATCTGCAGTAAAGAGGAAGGGGAAGGGGAAAGGGAGGGGAAGGAGAGTGGGGAGAAAGGAAGGGAGGGAGGGAATGAAGAAGTCCTGAGAGAACAACCCCTAAAGAGATTTTTGATTGTCTCATTTTTAACATCCGTATGTGAAAAAAAAACACATTAAAATATCCCCAGATAAAAAGCATCTTTTCAACAATGTGGCATCTTGTTTACACAGAGAATTCATCCAAAATGATAAGGAAGCAGATTAAAAACAGAGTTATGAATTATACCATATTACTTAACAAGCACAATAAATGTTTACTCTTGCTAGTAAAAATAATCCCACATTAAGTAAAAATGGTGAACTCAACTCCATTGAGATGCAGTGTTGATGGTGTAGATGCAGGGTGTTGAACAATTTCATATGCTACTTTGGAAATATAAATTTCCAAGTTTCAAGGAAAACAATTTGATAGTGAGTGTTAAATAAATTTTAAAATATTTTCTTCCCCAGTAATTCTACAGTGGGAGTTCTCTACTAAGGTGGTGATTGGAAATATGGCAAAAACACACAAATATATTCCTTCAATTTAAAAAGAAATTTTTAGGAGTAATCCAAATGTCCAGCTAAAGGAAATGGGTTAAATAAAAGTGAATATATGTATGAATTATAACAATGGTTCATTGCAAGTTAGAGGCCAGTCTGGGCTACAAAGTGAGTTCAAGGCCAACCTGAACTGCATAGCAAGACCCTGTCTCAAAAAAAAAAAAAAAAAGAATTATTACACTGGTATTTATGTTGCTGTTTATTAGGAATGAAATATGCTCAGGCCATAAAGTTAATTGAAATAGAAGAGAAGATTATGAATAAATTTGCTTTTAATTAAGGCAAAACATCTTGACCAAATGAAAGAATGTTCCTGATTCTCTCATGGTTGGTGGATACATGTGATTATAGGCTATGCCACAGCCATTTGATGATAGTCAAATAAAAACCTCTTAGAATTTTTTTTTTAATTTAAAAAATCCTCTTAGAATTTTTATTGAAACTGAACTTTACTTAAATATATGCATACACATGTTATTATTACAGCACTATAATAAAAATGGCAATTTATTTTCACAATACCCTGTTGATTTTTCCCCACATTGCCACATTTTTCATTTCAGCTCATCCTGGCGTCCAAAAGGTGGTGCTAGTCTCATCTGCATCTGACGTTCCCGTTCAGTCTCCTCGCAGCTCGGAAATGTCAGTGCCTGCTGACCTGGATCAAACCATAACAGAACTCGCCGACTGGCTGATACTGATTGACCAGATGCTGAAGTCCAACATTGTCACAGTCGGGGATGTGGAAGAGATCAATAAGACCGTTTCCCGAATGAAAGTAGGTGCATAGTGTGAAGCTCATCACGGCAACACCACAGTACAAAAGTTAGACAACGTCTGTTTTCATCTTTTTTGTTAACTCAGAGAGAATGAGGTTTGAAAAATTCTTTATCTGTCATACAGCTATCCAGGGCTAGCTCCAAAGAATAAAGTTTTTCTTTCATTTGTAAGATCAAGTTGATTGACTCAAGCTAAAGACTCAATGTATTTTTAAAATCCAAAATGGATATCATTGAAAGTTGGGCAGGTTGGTAGAAATGCGAGCTAGTGTGACCCTCACGGCCCAGTGTGATGTGGGATAATTTCCCAACACTCTGTTTTAACTTACGTTTCCTAACGAGCTTGTTTCAGTTCTAATTTTAGAAATGAGATTCTCCCAACGGTGGTTTTATTATTGTACCTGTGCCATCTAATACCAACTTGTAAAGTTCTGTTTCCACAGTTAGGGTGTGCTAGGTTCCGGGCTGTGTTATTATAGAGGGAGATTGAAAAGTGTATTCCACGAAAAATGTGCAATATAATAATAGTAACAGCTATTGCTGACTTTTATTAAGTGCTTAATGTATGTAGGGTGTTGAACAATTTCATATGCTTTGTAATGTATTTTCTTAAACATTTTTTACATGTATTATCTGATTTACTTCTCTAGCAGTCTTGTGAAGTAAATGCTGTTTTTATTCCACATTACTAATAAGCTCACATTTTTAAAAGGCAGAGGCATGAGTGCGTGACAGTATCCAGGTTACAGTGAGGTAACTCTGCAAGGCAGAGTCTAATAAAAGCTGCAGGGCGGGTGCAGGCCACCTGTTAGGGGACCAGGATGAGGAGGAGGCTTGCTTGCGCAGGGCTGATCAGAATTACAGGAAGTGTTTCAATTTAACAACTTCACTACAGTAGAAGACACATTGCTTTACTCCTCCTCCAAATTGCTACCCCTCAATTCAACACGCTCATCCAGTCGTTCTTGCCACTTTCTGAAGCAGTTCTGAGAATCCTCTTTTTTGAGTGTCTTTAGGAGGTACGGTCAAAAATACGGTGAATGCTACTGCAAGTGCTATCCAAAGGAGAAGGCAGGGCTGTAAAAACGGTACAGTGTGTCCTTATCCACCCCATTTGCTGGATCGGGCACAGAGTGACCTACTTTTTCCCAAGTCCAAATGACTGTGGAAGATAAGTGTTTTGAATCAATTCAAGACCTTGAGGCAGCCAGGACAGTGGAACTAAAAACACTCATGGAAGAGGACTTCCTTTTAGAGCGAGAGGGAGGATTTTGAGGGGGTTAATGGCAATGTGCCATTTAGTATACTAAAAATTTTAAAATTTAAACATGTACTATATTTTTCCGTCATACCGTGGACAGCAGTGGAGGACAGGTTGTATGGTTTGGACCTCACAGATAAAGTGAATGCCATTCCAAGTAGAGGGAACAGAGTGAATACAGACACGAGGCTGGGGTTGGGGAAAGGATGGAGACTGGGGTCCACATTGGCGCAATACTGAAATCGAGTGGGAGGAGAGGCAGGGTAGTCAGTTCTCATGGTCTCTGTGGCAGAACGTGCAGGGGCAAAGCCCTGCAGACCTCTAGTGCGTGCAGTCGGGTAGCATCTTTTTCTCCACCCCATTCTCTTTCCTGAATTGGGAACTAAGGATGGGAACTAGGGCTGGCAGTGCTTTTGTAAGAAGATGAAGGTGGATTGGAGATGCTCAAATCAAGGCAAAGAGCCCTTGCTGAGTGGCTGAAATGCTGCTCTTGCAATTAGTGGAAGTAAAGAGAAGAGATGGGAGTGTGAATGAGAGTTTGAGTGATTCAGTTCTGGGGTTGTTGTGTCAAGAGGTCCTTATGCCATTGAGGAGAAGATGATCAGCATTCATGGAAATGTGCTCTGGGATCTAGCATTGAAATCTGTGGGAAATACGTTTAGAAACAGTATTTGTCATGGTAGCCATGATTGGAGTCTACGGAATCAGTGAATTCCCGAAAAGACAGAGCCGGGAAAATCTTTTGCCACGCTCTATGTACTCACTGTAAATTGTGTTTTCTGTTTTTTATGACTGTTTTATTAGTTTTACAATTAAAACACTTGCTTCCTGTTTTCTCATGTGTATCAGTACTGAGAGACAGAATGCACCTAGAATAACAGTTCTTTGGGCTCAAGATGATTTGATTTGCGGTTACTCCAGCGAGCAGTTTCTAGCGTGTCACTCCTATCTTGTCTTGAGTACTGGTAGCATTGTGTACACATCTGATGTACAGTAGATATGTGATGTGTTAGCAGTGAGCACAGCTGTGTTTTCAGAGCATTTTCAGAGGTTTTCTTAATTTAATCTCCTCAGCCTTGATACAGCTGAGCTGTCAATATTTTGTTATTTCTTTTTGTGAAAACTACAACACAGAGGAAACGCACCTGGCTTCATGATCTGTGGAAGAGCTGAGACTTGAACGTAGGACCTCTGACTCCAAACCATGCACTCTTTCTCTACCACACCACTAATGCCTGGTTGTCCCTTAGAGCAGGAAACAGCAGGCTTAGCTCTGATGTGTGCTAACCTGCTTGGCTAAGTTGCTAGTCTTACGGGAGGAAGGATGAACCTGCCTTCATAATCGTTTCCCTTAACAGATCACAAAGGCTGACTTGGAGCAGCGCCATCCTCAGCTCGATTTTGTTTTTACACTGGCGCAGAATTTGAAAAACAAAGCTTCCAGTTCAGACGTGAGGACAGCAATCACAGAGAAACGTAAGTGTAAAATGTAAATTATACGTCAGCATGGGAAGACAGCCTCTCCTCTGTGTCTCTCTCTCTCCCCCTTTTCTCTCTCCCCCACCCACATTGCCATGCAAGCATGTACATATCCAATCCTTCAATTAGAAGTAATATTTTTTCATATTTGCTTCATCATTTATAAAGAAACACAGCCTTTTTTTTCTTTATGAACATTTAACAGTTTGCTATGAAGTTTTTAACATAGGTTTTTTTTTTTTTTAAAACGATGTTGAACTCAGTGGCTCTCATCTCTGAGCTAAATCACTAGTCCCTATAAAAATATTATCTTGAGACAGGGTCTCAATAAATTGTCTATGAACTTGTGATCCTCCTGCTTCAGCCTCCCAAGTAGCTGGGATTCTAGGTCTGTACCACTATTCCTGGCGTTACAATAGTTTTAAGCTGTTCTTTACTGATTCTTTTTCATTGTGCATTAAGATTTCTTTTCAAGAAATCAAAATAATGAAAATTAGGAAATCGCATTCTTCCACTATACTTTCTTCATGAAGACCAGGTATGACCGTGTCTCTTAGTTCACTTTCTCAAAGTTTCTTCCATATTTATTCAGCAACTGCTGTGTGCCTGTGTGACTAGCACCCATTTGGGGATGCTTTAGTTTAAAAAAATTAACTAGAAAATGAACATACAAAACACTAGTATATAAAGATCCCTGTTTAGAGTTTGCGTTTGACTTCAAAAGCATCTTAAATCCGTGTGGCATACAGAAGAATGTCTGAATGCTCAAGAGTGACATCTGGGGAGGGTCACAATCTGCTTCCATCGTCCCGTTTCTCCCCACCCTGCTCAGCCCCATCTGTAACGGTGTATATATATATATATATATTCTTTTAAACGTCCTGACATTTCTTAGTCTCCTTACCTTTATTCATGTTATTTTTTTTCCTCCCCCTGTGAAAATCTCCTCAGCAGCTAAAATGTCACTCCCTTTGTGAAGTCTTTCCCACCTTCTTCTTGTCCCTGAGCACTGTGTTTTCTATCTTTGGTTCCCGCTGTGGCCTTATTCTGCATGATGTCACTGTAGATCTCATAGCTACTTTATTCCTGTCTGCTGTCCATAGAGACTTATTCTTCACCTTTCTGGCCCAATTCAAATTCAACCCAATTCAGATTAGGCACTTAATATATAACGTGCCAGGATGTAAACTGGGAGAACAGAGTCTTCTCAAGGGGAAAAAAACAGCTTTCCCCTTGTCTTTGTTACTTTTCTTGTTGCTGAGACAACACCCAACACCCAAAGTTAAAGGAGGAAAAGTTTATTTAGCTCACAGTTTGGAGAGTTTTCAGTCCATCATCAGCTGGCTCCAAGGCAGGCTGGTGGAGTTCATGATGGTGGAAGACAGCAAAAGCAAGGAGAGAGAGACAAGCCTCTTTCTGTCCCTTATGTTGTATGCAGGCTGCCCACCCCAGGATGCATGTAGCACTCACACCTGTAATCCCAGCATTGGACCACGAATCAATCACAAACTCTAGAAGACCGCAGCCATGACTGCATGAGGCTTTGGGGGGGACTTCTGAATGCAAACCATAACATTACCAAATAGGAGTGTTTTGATTTCAAAATAAATGTAGCATCAAGTTACTGTACAGTGATGTTAGCAAAGCACTTTTAGTATTGGGTGATTTTGATTCATTTTTACTATATAACCTGTTTTTTCTCTTTTTGTTCATTGATTGGTTGATGGTACCAATTATGGGATTCTGTGGTGATCCTATTTCCCCTCTCTTGGCAAGGGAGCACCTCTGTGTTTAGGGCGCTTAGTCACTTCGCTGTGCTGAGACGCGATACATGACATCTGGAACTTAAAGGAAGCGAGGTTTATTTTGGCCCATGTTTCTGTCCGTAGTGCACTGGCTCCAAGGCAGGGCAGTATGGCGGAGGGGTTTAGAGGAAAACTGTTGCTCATGGCAGAGTGGGCAGGAAGCAGAGGGGAAATTGAAGAAGCTGGAATGGGAGATAAATCCTTCTGAGTCGTACCCAAGGTGACCTGCTTCTTCCAGTTGTACCCTGTCTCCTAATGGCAAGTCAGCTGCGTTGCCCCAGTAATCCAGTCAGCTGTCAAAAGCCCCACTTATGAGCAGCTGAGCCTCTAGGGCGGTGGTGGCAAACCTATGACATGCATGCTGCAGGAGGCTGTATCATTGAAAGCTCTGAAAGGTTTGCCACCGCTGCACTAGGAGGACATCTAGATTAAACCAAAAGAGGTTCTACGCTTCTTGCAGTGTCATCTCCATTTTGCCCTTCTTCTGTCTGATATTTTTTTCTCCACTCCCCTCTTTGTTTCATTAAAACTTATTTTAGGGGTTTTTTTGTCTGTGTTTTTCACAGGACTTACCTTCTCGTAAATGTCTTCCCTTTCTCATTGATGCTTTCTTTTGTTTTCTCTGTGTGTGTGCGTGCATGCGTGTGTGCGTGTGTGTGTGTGTTTGTAGACCATGTCTACGTCATCACTCATTACATGAAGACCCCTCAGCTGGAGTGTACTGTGAATAGTAACCTGTTGTATTCATTATTTTCTCACTGCTGAGATATAATACCTGATACCCAGAGCTTGAAGGGAAGATTTATTTTGACTCCCAATTTGCAGAGGATCCAGTCCATAGTTAGCTGGCTCCAAGGTGGGACAGTGTAATAGAGGGGCATGGCAGAGGAGGCTTCCTCCTGGAATGTCTATGGGAAGCAGAGAGAAATCAAGGGAGGAGGAGGGAGGTAGACCCTGCCAGGCCACACCCCAGTGATCCACCTCCTCCCACTAGGCGTCACCTCTCCACACCACATTTAGCTATTAATTCATCAGTGGACTGATCCACTGATGAATATCATGACCCCATGATCCAGTCATCTCCTAAAAGCCCCACCTGTGAGAGCATGAAGCTTTGGGGAAACATCTAGATACAAACCACAGCATTCTACCCCTGGTCTCTAAAAAACTTGTGCATATCTCTTTATGCAAAATGCATTTAGTTCTCTAAAAGTTGCAAAAGTCCTAACAGTTTTGGCATTGTTGAAATGTTCAAGTCCAAACATTCAAGTCTCTGAAATTTAAGGCAAACTCTTAGCTGTGAGTCCCTGTGAAACTCAAAAGAGAGTTAAACACTACTGACCTACAAAGGTGAAGGGTAAACGTTTCTATTCCAAAATGGGAGAAATAGTGGGATAGAAACAAATAGTACCAAGGCAGGGCATACATTAAATTAAATATATTAAATCCCATAGTTCTGTGTCCAGCACTTGGGGGAATCTGCGGCAAGGTGTGAACTCCAAAGGGCTGGGCAACTCCTCCCCTTTGGCATCTCCTCCCCTTTGGCATTGCATGTAGTTGTAGCCTTCAAGGTGCCTCTCTGGGATTGGCTTTGCTCACGTCTTCTGGCTTTCCTCAGATGTTCCACATTCCTGACTTTGCCAACATGCTGGGGTCTCCACTGCACTTTTTGGCTATGCCCTCATATTTTCATCAACTGCCCTATAGGATGGACTGCCTGACCTCCTAGGCCTTTTTGTGAAATCTGGGTGGAAGCCTCCCTGACCCTGTAACTCTTGCATTCTGCATAAAGATAATACCAGCACCATGTGGATGACACCAGGGTCTGCTACCAGGTGGAGCAGTAGCCAGGCTTCTTTCTATTTATAGCTGTAGGGATCAACTACCTAGATATTGAGTGCTGTGAACTGAATCCTGAAGAGCAAATTCCTTAGGTGGCTGCCAATCTGGAACATGGTGCCCTAGGGCTGTCTTCTCAGAAAGTCTTTCCTCTTTGTAATTTTGAGCCTGCAAAGGGTAGCGCTTTGTTTCCTCATAGTTTCTCAAGGCATTTTTCCTATTTTCCTGTTCCAAAGTACTTAACATGTTTTTAATGCAAATCTTTTCGGCAAAGAAACTGTGATCCATCTTTGCAGTCCCCAAATTTCCTTGAGCTGCCTTTCAGGCCAAACACAAAACTTTTTACATCATTTGTCATTCTCCTGCCCATTTGCTCTTGATTCTTGACATACATCTGAACTTTAAAAAAACTATTTATTTATTTATTTATTTTTGGGGACAGGGTCTTGCTAAATTGGTTACCCTGGGCTCAAACCTGTGATCCTACTAGTTCAACTTTTTGAGTAATTAAGATTACAGACATGACTCATCATGCCCAGCAAATTTTTACGTTCAAATGTTTGTCTTGAACATGTATAAATGTTTCCTTTTAGAGAGGTTTTGTGCTACAAATGGCAATTCTGAAAAGTATTATTAATTAGTTTTCTTCTAAAATCCAGCCTGTTTTAGAGAATCATCTTTGAGGTTAATAAGTGACTATATCTGTATCTTATAATTTTGTATCTATCTTCACCAAACCTTGCTTTATGAGTTTATAACAGTAGATATTTTTAATGTGAGAATATTTTAGTGCATTGCTTGATTGATTGATTGAGACAGAGTCTCACTGTGTAGTTCAGGCTGTCCTTGAACTCACTCTGTAGCCCAGGCTGCCCTCAAACTTGCACTGATCACCTGCCTCAGCCTCCCAAGTGCTAGAATTACAGGTGTGTGCCACCATGCCCAGTATTTTAGTGCATTTAAAATAGTGCAATTTTTTTCCTAAAGTTTGCTTCAGAAGTCTATTAAAAGTCAGGTACAGTGGCACATGCCTGTGGCCCAGCTGCTCAGGAGGCTGGGGTAGGAGGGTCACAAATTCAAACCAGCCTGGGCAACTTAGTGAGAATGATCTTTATTAATAAATAATGAGAGCCAGGTGAAGTGGTACATACTTGTAACCTCAGCCCTCTGGGAGACCAAGGTAGAAGGACTGGAAATTTGAAGTCAGCTTAGGCAACTGAACTCTGCCTCAAAATTAAAAAAACAAAACAAAAACAAAAACAAAAAAGGGCTGTGGATATTGCTCCATATGAAGGCCTGGATCCAGTCCCTAGTACTGTCAATCAATCAGTCAATCAGTCATTCATTCAGTCTGTGGACTCTTAACTGCTTTAGAGTACAGCAGACATGTATTAGAATTCCTTTCAAATGTGTTTCTCAGTTTGTTCCCTTTCTCTTTTCTCATTAGAGACTTATTTGGGATGAATGTAAAATTTGGGATCAGGTATTTTTTTTCCCTTTCCTGGTAGTTATCCTCAGGGATTCTCTTCTGTGATGTTCCCCCAGTGGAAAAGGTAAAGGCCCGCTGGGACAGCACACAGCACGGTGTGGAGCTCCGCCGCCAGCAGCTGGAGGCCATGATCGTGGACAGTCTCCGGTGGGAGGACCACAGGGAGGAGACGGAGGAGCTGATGAGGAAGTTCGAGGCCCGGCTCTACATGCTGCAACAGGCCCGGCGGGACCCGCTGAGCAAGCAAGTTTCTGACAACCAAGTAAGACTCATTAGATGGTGGTTTTTGGTATCATGTTGTTGGATTTATTTTTTTCTTTGGTCACTGTCAATACTGAGACCCTGTCATGATATTTTCCTAAGTTATTAGGCTGTGTATGGAAGTGTATATGAAGCACTTGACAAGGATTCTTTTTATTTTTTAATTTCTAAAGGCTTAACTAATAGAAATGTGCCATTTTTGCAAACAGAATGACCCCATGAGCCTATATCAAGAAAGAGAACATTTTTAGAATTCCCCAGAAAAGATTTTATTTCCGTCTTTGCCTGTGTTGAGGACTGTCCTTATTTATAAAATTTCCTGAGACTATTTGAGTGCTGTTATAGTAAACAAGTTAAGTAATCAAGTTTAGCTTCTTTTAATATCTTTGTAAAGACACAGTTTTATCAGTGGTAGGTACCTTTTTGGTGATCAGTTTGATTACAGAGTTGATGACGCTGAATGTTCATGGTAGTTTTAAAGTATTATTTTAAAATTTCTACAATCATAGAAAATGTTCTTGAATTAGAGGTTGTAGCTGTGAGGTTATGTTTTGGTGCAACATTTTATTTGGCCTTCAGGTGGCTTAAGATGAAAGTATACATTTATGAAGAATGGAATAAGGAGGGTGAAAGCAAAATCCCAAACCTGGAAGTATGCTTTTATTCTTCAGAGTGCAGATTGCCAATTTCGAAAAGCAAAGGGTGAGGCACAATGGTTTTGGAGCATTCTGTGTGTTTATGATACGTGCTGATTGCTTGGACTAAATAACTGAAATGGACATGTAAGTAGAGTGACACTGCTCCAGATGATGTCAGCGTTCCAGTCATTAGGCTCAGGGTACTGTTGTGTCTGCCAGATCAGCATCCGTGATTCAGTCAACCATGGATCATGGATTATTTAGCCAGTGAAGCTCACATCTGTGCTGAACACGTACATGCTCTTTATCATCTTGTTATTGTTCTATCAGCAGTGTAGTATAATGACTGTTCTGTAGCATTTATATTGCAGTAAGTAATGTGAGTAAAAAAATGATTGAAAGTATACACAAGGATAGTGCACCATTTTATATAAGGAACAGGACCATCTGTGGATTTTGGTATCCACAAGAAGGTCTTGGAACCAATTTTCCACAGGTTCCAAGAGAAGACTATATATGTTTTCTAATTAATAATGTTCTTTTCTGAAACTTTGGGCTATTTTTTTTTTTTTCCTAGTTGCTAAAAAGCATTATAGGGGGGCTGGGGGTTTAGCTCAGCGGCAAAAGCGCCTGCCTGGCAAGCGCAAGGTCGTGAGTTCGGTTCCTGGTACCGGAGAAAAAACCAAAAAAAAAAAAAAAAAAAAAGCATTATAGGGATATTGAACTGTCATTTAGATTTTAGGGCAGTATCTTGAACTGGAGACTTTAAGGGATTGGGAAAATGCATAAGACATCACCGCATATTGTAGCTCTTCAGCCAGCTCTCAGGAACCCTTGCTTGGCTGTCTAATCCTCCTCCGCCGTTCACTTTGTGAACACACACGGTGATCCAGTGGCGAGAGACAGAAGACATCCCCATCGATGGTCCTTGCCATTGTCCCAACCATGTATGGTGGAACGCTCTCTCTGTCCATTCCTGTACAATTACATGTTCCTGTAAAAATCAGATCTGGTGCAAAATGAAAAGAACTAACAGTTTGAGGAAATAAGTATCTCAAAGAGGAAAAGATAGTAATTACTTCATCTTACCTACTGCCTGCCTGATGTCTTAGACATTTTTTAAGTAGAATAGTTCCTTTTTCTCTAGAATAGTTGTGTTTTAAGCTTACGTGTAACAGTTTGTCCCCTAATTAGTTTTATTCTTGTGACATCTGTGTCTAAAACACGTTAAAACCTTCTAGGAGTACCAGTGTTTGCATAATACTAATTACTGACTGACCACATCTAATAATTACATCTTGTATCTTAGCTGCTGCTCCAAGAACTGGGTCCTGGCGACGGCATCATCATGGCCTTCGATAATGTCCTGCAGAAACTTCTGGAAGATTATGCTAGTGATGACACAAGGAATGTGAAGGAAACCACCGAGTACCTAAAAACATCCTGGGCCAATCTAAAACAAAGGTAACTGTACAGCCCTGGCAGCTTCATGCCTCTTGTCAAGTTGAGAATTTGATTTCTTTGGCTTTTTCGTGCAAATAGGCCAAATACGTGCATACTTGAAGTGGGTTTTATTATTTTTTCAGTTTTTATACTGTAATGTGCCGAGTCAATACTGTTATGTTTACTTAGTGACAGAGGTACACTGACATAATATCTACCTGAGTTTCCACAATGAAGTTTTCTTTGAATAAGTTTAAATCTTCCCAACTATTATTTTATGTGTTTTGATTTTCTTATGACTCTCACTATTGCCTAAAATACATTCTATAGTATCCTGGTGAGAAACAAAGTATATACAGGTGGCTCAGTTTAATTTTATCATTAGTGGCAATTATAGCATAGTATATACTGATGTCATATTCGGCCAGGGTCTCCTCATTTGAAGACCATACACCCATGGATCCCACACCCAACCTCTGAAATAATCAATGTGTAGTTAAAGTTTCAACTAATTATCGTCTATATCCATGGCCCTCTAGTCAGTATATTTGGAATAGCCTAAAGTAGCATATGTATTTATAAGAGATATTTTTCTGTCACTTTGCCACACATAATCTGAGGAACTATTAACAATAGTTAGCATCTCTGTAAGGCTATATAATTATATTCATCATCAATAAAAATTATTTACTTCCTGTATAGTGCGGGGAAGGCTTGCATCCAAGTAAAATTAAAGTTTCTCAGGCATCTTTAGCTGTTCAAACATAGCTTCCTGAAAACAAACTTGATATCAGAACACATTTATTTTGCAGTGGATAAAATTGGTAATATCAGAGCACTTTATGGTAGATATTCCTGTTAATAATGTATGCAGTAGCATCTAAGGACTAGTTCACATGGAGAAATTTTTATTCATTTCAAGACTGTTGTTTTTTGTTAGAACTTTTAAAGCAGTTTTAAAAACTCCAAGGAGATGATTAGGGAAGGACATGAGCTTGTATGTGTTGCTAAATATACCAAGCATACCAGAGGAAATAAGATTGGTGTAGGAAATATAAAACTTTGTAACAGGTCAAAGCAGCCTGCCTATCATTGTGATATTTCTAGCATTTCAGTACAACTTTTCTCTCTTTTACAACAAGTTGTTTAGATGAAGGTCCCTTAACTAAAACAGGGAAGAAGGTGAGCTATAAACACCTTTAGTACCGAGACAGTCTTTCATCATACTTCATTTTTGTTGTTTCTGGAAGTTCCATGTGTAAGAATTGTGACTTTGTTATTGTTGTAGGTAATACCAGAAAAATTGCTCGCTGAGGGATGAGTGGCTTGCTTTATTTAGCGATTCCAATTCTTTTTTAGCCTTTCCTTTGTAAATATTTTAAGACAGCCCACAGCAGTAGTTAGATTAGATGGAGGAGGCAATTAAAAATGAATTATATTCCAAGGTGATCTTTCATTTATCATAGCGAAGACAACCTCAGCGTTCCAGTTTCATTGTAGTTGCAGGGAGTTGTCCTTCGTGTGTTTTCTTTCTGCTTTTGGGGTGGGAGGAATAAGTAACTGTATTAAAATTTAGACATGATACAGACACATGGTTATTTGTGAAGCTGGGAAAATACAGCAAAACCGTGGCTTATGGGAACCACTTATTAGGGAGAGCAAAGGCTTCTGTAAGTGGAGAGTTTTCTCTCTTAAACACAATGATATTTACAGTTTTCACTGTTCTAAATGAACATCTTTCTGGAATATAGAAATCTTACCTGGTCTCCTTAAACAAAGTATGAGAACCTGCGTTAAACTGCTTCTGAGTTCTTGACATTATTGTTTCAAAAATAGAATTAAGGAACTTTAACAATTGTAAGTGACCTCACTTACAATTTAGTTGATCTAAACCAGTGTTTTTCTCAATATTTTAAACTATCTCTTCTCTAAGGATCCTTTTCAGGCCCCCCCCTCCATGAAATTCTACTGCTGTGGTCGATTATGTATCCGTTTCTTTGCCTTACAGTGATGCTTTGTATATGAAAAAGGTAATTACTTTCCACACACCTTGAAGAACTACTCATCACCTCCTTTGAGAATACCTGGCTAATTTAACACACCCAGGCTCAGAGGAGTTCAGTGACATGTGTAAATTTGCATAGGAAAGCCAAAATGATATTTTTCTAGAGTAAAAAGGGGATATAATACTCTCCACACCTGAGTTCTGAGGAGGTGGTGGTAAATTTATTCAGGCTGTCATGCTTTGTATTAGGTTATTTTTAGCTACAAATGTTACTGTCTTGCCACCGGGTAGGGTCTGAGGCACTTCCGCCAAAGAGGCGAAGAGGACCTCAGTTCACCTGGCCTGCTGAATAGTTAGGTCTGCGTACTTCCATCCCAGAGAAGGAATTTAGGGATGTGTTGCTGAGAGGCAAGCAGATTTTTTAGGCAGAAGGATGTGTACAGTCAGAGAGAAGCAGAGTGCTCTTAGGGTGAGACAAGGGTACTGTCTGAGGCTGTGGGTATTTATGTGCTTGGGGGAGTCCTCAAGATGGAAGATCTAGGATACATACAATATTTCTAGTGTCTGTCAGGTAACCCGTTGTTAAGGAGGAGACCCCATAGATTCACAAATCCCAGACTTCCACCGGCAAGGAAAGAGCACTATCAATGGGGTAAAATATCACTAAACTTTAAACTTGTGCAAATAGTTTGCCTCTCAGATCTGTCTCTGATTCTCCTTACTGGTTCTTGTCTGTGCCGAGTTTGGAAGTCAGATCAGATTAGAGATACAAGGCCTCTTCCATGAACAATGGAATAGCCTGCAGCCTGCGGTCTTCACACCTACTCCAGTGGCCTCTAAAAGACCTTTCGCCAGGGCTCTCCTCTTATCTTGCAGCCATATTCGGGATATATATCATTGTCAGCCAAATTCTGGAGGCAGGAAAAGTTATATGTGCACATGGACTAGCATTGTGGAGCATAATTTGTGGAACTGAGTATCAGTTTTCAAAGGAGATACTTTATGTGAACTGCAGTTGGCCCAAGGAATTTGGCCATTTACATGACAGGGTCACACTCCCTTATTTACAGTGCCAAAACCCAAGAAAAGATCGGATAACAGAAAGCTCTGAATTGACATCAAGTTGTTGATTATAGTCATTTTTTATCCTAGTTAGTGGAAATAGCCTTGCTTTTAGTTGCACAAATATTAGTATGTTTCTTTGCTCCTATAGACCCGCTCAGGGGTAATCTGTAATCTGTAACATTAGTTTTCTAAGGTACAAAAAATTCTTAATTCTGAAGCAAAACCGACTGCTGGTGTTTATACTCTGTGAGCAGCAGGCCTCTCTAATATTTGTTAACTAATCTACATATCTTGATCACTGTTGCTTCTATCTGTGGCCTTTTCCTCCTTTCATGGGTTAATGGCAGCTAACTTTTAGTACAAGTTGACAGTTGATAACTCAGATGTGCTTGTAAGGTTGCTTGTTCCTTATCCAAAATACTTTGGATCAGGAGGGTTTGGGGTTTTGGATTTATTTCTTTTTTACTTTGGAACATTCGCGTACACATAGTGAAATATGTAAGGGATGACTCAAATCTGAACATGAAGTTCAGGTGTATTCATACTTTAAAGGTATATTCATACCTTAAAGGCCTGGGAGTTTAGTTCAGAGGGAGAGCACTTGCCCAGCATGTGTGAGGCTCTGGGTTCAATCTTCAGTATGGTGAAAAAGAGAGAGGGAGAGGGAGACGGAGAAGCCGGTGGAAAGGGATGTTACACATAGGTAGAAGGGAATCTATGCAATATTTTAAATAATTTTGTACATGAAACGAAGTGTAATGGTGTGGGATTTTCCACTGTGGCATTCTGTTAGCACTCAAGAAGCTTTAGGTTTTGACATATTTCAGATTTTCAGATAAGTTATGCTCAGTTAGTAGCAACTTGGCTTGGATGCCTGATTGGGGCCTGAAAGGTTATTTTAGCCCTGTAGGCACTTCGGGGCTTGTGTTGATTTGGGGCTTATTGCAAGGGGAACAATATTATACAGGACAAATATTTTACAAGATTATTAATAATAGTCACCCAAAGAATGATACACAAAAGAGTACAGGAAATCTGTCCACACACTAAACATCAAAGAATCCAGCTGAGGGCCTGGATCCCACAATAATGTCCTGCATGAGTTCAGCTGAAGACTTAGAGCCCATAACAATGCCTCCTAAGAGTCAAGCGGAGGCCTAGAGCCTATGGCAATGTCTCATGCAGCCCTGTTTCATGGATGTGCACTGGGAAGGCCCAAAGGTGAGTGGTGGAATCTAGAAAGTCTGTGCCAGCAGGATGAGGGATCTGTGCTAACAGGCTGAGGGATACACACTGGAGCTAGGAAGGGATGCTCAAAATAAGAACCAGAGCTTCCCTGAAAAGGACTACAGCCATCCTAGGCAACAGTGAGGTCCCAAGCTCCTCCAGTGATGAAGACAGCTGAGTTCCCATCAGGGAAGCCAACGCAGCAAGCTTCTCCAGGAGGCTGGCAGTGCACCATCTTCCCCTCCAGAGCCAGGAAGCGAAGCTCAAAGTGAGGACCAGAGCTCTCCCAAAGTGAACCAAAGCTATTCTCAGCCAACAAGGTCCCAAGCTCCTCAGAGGATGAAAACAGCCAAGTTCATCAGGAAAGCCAGCGTGACAAGCTCCTCCAGAAGAACTAACAGCTCCTTACCTCTTCTACCAGCTCCCAACAGCCTTCTTCTCCATTTCTGCCTCTTATGCTGCTGGCAACAGTCCCCAGATGGGCCTCCCACACCCAGCACTGTGCCTACTCAGTTCAGCTGGGTGTTACAAGTTGACCACCAGTTGTAAATCCACCACAGGGCTAAAATAACATTTTATATCTGTGTATATGTATATTTGTATACCATGCATTTATATACACAGTTACCAATGCTATAGTGCCGTAAAGTAACTGAGACAATATAGCCATATGCTATAATTTCTTGAACATCACCCATTACAATGGATATTTTCCTCATCCTTA